TTTCAAATTGCAACATTTAATACTTATTTAAATTTTCAGCTTCGGATAACTTTTCTGACTGTTTAAGAAAAAGACATTTTTTTTGCTTCATTAAAAAAAAAAGTTGACTTATCATCATTTCTTAAAGTTTTGATTCTATTAACAGCTGAATTGACTTGCTCAATACAATAGGCCACATCTAGATGTTTAAGTTGTAAAATTGAATATAATGTATCAGTTACATTAAATATTTCTTTATATACTATAATAAAAAATGCAAAATCAAATTTTTTTAAGTTATTTATGAAACCTTTAGCTCCATTTATAGATTCCATTCCTGACTTGGAATTATTTCTGATACATTGCGTTACTTCTAATAACTTAACTAAATTTGAAGCAACAAAGTTTTAAATTTTTGATCATGTGCACCAACGAGTCTCATTAGCAACTGTATACGCTTGCTAATTATTGTATCTATAACAAATGTTCGTTTTGGAGACCTTTTAAAAAATACAGATATTCCTAAAAGGGTTGCAAAAAATATTCGAGATTGAGGTACCTACTCAATAACTTCCTTGCTGTATAACTAGATTTAATCGATGTGCACAACAATGAGTAACTAGAGCATTTGGTACTTCGTTTTTAATTTTTTTTTGAAGACCATTAACATGGCCAGCCATATCGCTGGCTCCATTTTCATAACAATAAGCTATCAACTTAGTTCTAAAATCATATGGATCTAATACACTGGTTATTAAATTAAAAAGAGATTCAGAAGTATTGCTACATCTCACATCATGGAAACCTGAAAAACTCTCCTTCAATTCACCAGTTTTTTTTACATATCTTAAAGTAATTGCACATTGAGATTTTTCTACATCTGATATAACAGCAAAAAATTAATATCATTAATTTCAGATTTTATGACATCAATTATGTATTCATAAACACAATGTATAATTTCATTTTGAATTGTTTATGATTGGCCAGTGAAAACATTGCTTATTTTTTCATAATCAGATAATAACCATTATTATATAATCATTTATAATAATCATTTCGTTTAATAAGCAAATTAAACATTTCACGAAAGTTTCCCTGATTAAAAGATAAAGAGTTCTCATTATAACCTCTAAAAGCCAACTCTTGTTTTCCTAATAGTATCACATCTTCAATTATTTGTAACAACACTAATCTGTTTTTGCTAACATTTTCGTTATATATAATTTTGTTTAAACGAGAACCTTCATTTAAAACATCAATAATTGTTTCTTTATTTTTTTCATGTTTTTTTACACTTCTTGATAAGTTTTTTAAATCAAAATAACCATCAGAATACTAAACAATTTTCACTTTACCAAGTAAAATGCAAGGCCAACAATACAACCTCTGTTTATAAAAACTACCACACAACCACTTGTGTGAATCATACCAGGTTTCTTTAAAAGAGAACCCTGTGACGGTTATTTAGAAACTCAAGAGTACAAAACGCTAATGAAATGTCTAGAGGTCAATCAGTATATATTAATTAGGAAAATAATTGATGAGTAATAAATAAGTAAAAATAATTTGTAGAAAATATTTTTGATTATTCGAGTTCGGCAGTGCTTATAAAAACGGTTAAAGAAAATAACTTTTAAGTTTTTAGATCTGGACAGTTTAGATGGCTAACCAAAATTTCATCCTACTAAATGATAATAATTTTCTCGGAAAACACTACATTTTGAAAATTTATATTTACTATTCTTTATGGGTTATATTTTACTATATTTTTCTATAAAACAGAAATTGTGATTTTTTATTATACTTAGGGACAGTGAGAATCTGGTTAATCCACTCATGTAATATTTACTTTAAATATATATATATATATATATATATATATATATGGCTATTAATTATCTATTTATATTTAATTATATGTTCAAAATGTTGTCCATTTGCTGGCAAACAAAATTCCATTCATTAGAGGTTACATTTTTTAATATTTGTTTAGGAGTATTTTGACACACATAAGTTACCCATTATTTATATTATGCAAAATTGAGTTTCATCTCCGTGAATAAAGAAATTATTATTATTATTTTAATTTTGAGTCGTTGTATGATTTCCAATGTTTCATTATAAACTTAATTTTTAACATATCCCCAAAAGTGAAAAATCTAACGGAGTGAGATCAGGCGAACGCGGAGATCATTGGATTTCTGGTCTCCATAAAATTATTTTTTAAAAATCTCCTGCAAAAAATTGTGAACTGGAGCCCCGTCTTATTGCCAAAACATTTTTAGTCGCTTCTCCAGCGGTAAATGTTCCAGTAATACTGGTAAGCTATTTTTTAAAAATTCTAAATATATATTGCCTGATTTTCTTAAAAAAAAAAAAGGCCCTACAAGATAATTGTCAATAATTCCACACCATACATTAATACCCCACCGTACTTAGTTATTAGCTTCAGATATCCAGTTGGGATTAGTAAGACTCCAATAATGGTTATTATGGTGGTTTACGCGACCATTGTTACAAAATTTGGCTTCATCGGTCCATAATATGTTAGGAGAAAAACTCAGGATCATCTTTCATTTTCTCCATCATATTGGCGACAAATTGTATACGATGTCCATAGTCACCATTTTCAAGTTTCTGGTCTGAAGATGACAAAACATGCGTTAAACTTTTAGCTTTAGCTATTTGGTTTATTGATCCATAGGATAGCTCTAATTCTTCTACAGTGAAATAATTATCATACAATTTAAGATTTCATTTTATAATCTTTTTTTAAAGTACCTGATACAGCTCTTAGAGATATGTTAGGGTTTACACTTAGTAAAGCTAATACAGCTGTTTAGTTAGTCATATTAATGACCGTTTTACCTCGGTTCCCAAAGATTTTAAAACACCCTTAAACTTTAAATTTTTGTACAATCGAACAAACATTGAATGGTGTGGACATGGACGATCTATACATAGCTCTGTTTATATAACCTTAAAACTAATATAATATGTATATAAATAATGAATTATTGTTAATACTCGTAATTTTGCTGTGTATTTAATTTAACCTTTGCGGACGTGCAGAGGGGGTGACCAGTCAACAGGGGCACCTGTTTGTACCAACAGCGGCAACAGCAACTACAGTCCATATAATTTTCCCAGCACAATGTCGTAGGGAGCTTCACCCCCCACACCCCTTAAGAACCCAGCAACACGCTGTCAACAATCAAATTTATTATAGTGCATAAAAAGAATCTCTTTTTTTAAACAATATTAATATATATATATATATATACAGTGATTTTTTTATCATGGGCCACTCAAAATCTCATAGGGCTTATTAGAAATTAAAATGTTTTTTTTAATATTGTTTTTATACAATTTCAATTTTTGTATAAACCCCCTTCCAGCATAGTTTTTTTGATAGCAACTTTTGGAAATTTAATGGTAACGCATACATTTCGTTAACTTTATTCGTTGAGAATAATGTATTAAAAATGTTGACTGGTCGACAACCTGATAAACAATAATTATTAAAGCTTATAACACATGGTTACGCGACGAGGACTATTCTTGCGGCCGCGAAGATTCTTATCAATAATTTAAGAAACTCACTGTAACCTACCGCGATCTTGTTTACAGCCATAGTGATATAGTATTAAGCCTTAATATTCAGTTAGTATTTTACAACTTTTATAAGAACCTATGCCAGTGTAAGCTGCTGCAGATTAGCATTGTCCGTCGCTTAACCATTCTATCTATAATCGCGGTATATAACAGGCTTCAGGTAAGTTAGGCCCTCGAGATAATATTTCAATCATGGCATCACTGCACCTTTTCAACTTCCAACTGATAACTATAATATTATGATAAAAAAATAAATATTTTTTCAAATTAATTATTAATAATTATGTATAAAATAATTGCATATGTTTATATTAGATATCAATAGGGAGGGTCCGGGACCCCATGAACCCCCCCCCCCCCGTTACTACGCCACTGGTTGTATAACAATGGAAACCTGTTGCCAAATTGTAAATTATAAAATTTTCATAAGTACACGATAAGTTTTGTGAAATTAAAAAAAAAATTGATTATTAAGTTAAAAACTAAAAATTACCATTGAAATAATTTATAAATATTACTTAATAAATACAAAATTATTTTTTTTTTGTAAAATACGTAATTGTAATAATTAGTACATACAAATTAAAAAATGTAGTGTAAAAATTAATAAACATAAAATAATTTAGTATAATATAGTTTGTTTATTAACTCATCATAAAAATATCACAAAAAAATAAAAATAAAATGTCCCCCTTGATAAATGGGCTCAATTTTAGATAATTACATCATAATATTTTTATCAATTATATACCTACTGATCATATATCTTAGTAGAAGATTGAATCCGTTTTAAATCAGATACAGCAATATTTTTAAAATGGTTGGGCATTTATCCTGAGAGTCAAAGTACGATTTTAAAGCTGAATACATTTCAATAATTCTAGTAACTGCTGGTTGTAAGGATAACCATCTTGTTTTGACACTTCCAAGTACGTTTTTGTATTGAACTGTTATTAGTTTGAAACAACGCACTTACCCCACCTAACCCTACATAATATTTCATCAATTCATATCTTATTTTATGTTAACCAGCTTTTAGTATTTGTAATGTTTACATACACAACATATTCACTTGTTGCGCACTTTATTTTGTACAAAGTACCTAAACAGTGCTTTTGCATGTAAGTAATTTTAATTGATATTTGTACTAAGAGTAAAATGTCACAACGGTCAAATCACGTTTTTACAGAACCGTGTAATTATATAATATCAACTAGATAAGTGGAATTTAGAAAATATGTAAAAGAGAGAAAAAAGGATTTGGGTAAAAAGCTGAAGAATTAATAAACCGTCAGCAAAGTACAAAGATATCATATATAGTTTATATGTACAGTTTTTTTAAGCATTTTAATCAAATATAATGTTGTTAAATTTTGATAATAACTGCCATAACACTTAAGAACTTAAGCATTTTTTTCCGGCTCTGTCGTGTCGTCATCTGCATGTTCTGTTTTTTTGTTAGTGACTTCAGATGAACTAGGCTGAGCTGAAGCAGTCGGGTCGTCGGGTATATTCGATGCGATTTCATTCAACTTGTTTCCTATCCACTTTACTTTTTGATTTTTGTCGCTTAAAATTTGTTCTTGTACCATATAAATGTACACCAAGAATAACCATGTTAACTCGAAAAAAAACGCTAGATAAAAATATTAAAACATTTAAATACCGCTTTTTATGTGATGTTGGTAAAAAACAACATTATAACGATAAATGTTCATAATATGTATCGCTATATCAGGTACAGCGTTAGAGATCTCAGGTAATTTCTATAAATTACTTTAGTGCATAATCAAAAAACGACTACATACCGAAAAACTTTTCTACGAACACAAGGCATCTGATATAATACCAATCTGAACTGTAAAAACACAAATGGTATTTAAACTATAAATTCAAAGTAGGGCAAACTAAACTTATTGATCTTACTCGGACGAGTGGAATATCAAATTCACGAAATCAAATAAGCACCCAAAGCAGGATATTACCAATCCGTATTGCATTAGTTCGGGTTTTTCCTAAAAAAAACTTTTTTTAAAGTCTATGACACAAAAGAAAAATTATCAATATCATTTTTAATGAAACAAAGGAACAACAAGTGTAGGACACACTAATAGCTGTGTCCTACCTAAGTGTGTCCGAGTGAGACAAGTGCCTCAACATACAAATATAATACATAGGGTGGTAATTCAATATAGACGAGACACTCATTTCCTCTTTAAAATAATGCAATTTTATCATTTTCAACTTTGAAAACATTTTTGTTTTTGTTATTACGGTTTTAAAAGTTGATCGCGCTCTTGAAAAACGATGAGAAAGTTTAATATTTTCTAATATTGTACAATAATATAAACTAAAGTATTTTTTCAAAAAGCAAAACTCTAAGATTGCAATTGTATAATGAGAAAATTAGTGTCTTATCCTTATTTAAATACCTTGTTTAATAGTTCTACACGTAAATAAATTAACATATGATACCAAAATCTCAATTTATCTCACCGATGATATCGTTGCGATTATAATGGAGGCACCAGCGTAATTTAGTTGATTGACTAGATCAAAAAACGTTAACACCTAGTGGTCATAAAACCGTGTTAATAGAATATAGTACATATTTTTATCAATGCAACATGACAACAATTATAGGTGCCCCCTAAATTGATGGCGGAAATTTGACCATAGAACAAAATTGATAACGACAATTGATCATACTGATGAGTTAGCAGTCATGAAAAATACAACCGGTAGGCATACCTATTATTATCCTAAAATGTAAAACATTAGCTTCACAGTATTTAAATAAAATATTAATGTCGTATGCTATCAATGTTGCCATGCTATAAAATATCATATTGAAATGAAAATTCTGAAGCTGCAGAGCTTAGTCGAATGTATATTATAATATTGTGAACTCACCAGACAAATTCCTGTGAATAAGTAAGTATACCTATAAACCGCTAAAAACTTGACGTCGAATTCGAGTGCTATCATACTATGTGTAATATTTTTTTAATTGTAATTTATACAGTCAAACACGTCTAATCTACTTAAACAGTGTAAATCAAAGTTGAAATAACAAAAACTAGTTTATAAGCGAACAAAATTGTAATTAAAATTTACTTTGGGAAGAACGCAATTATATTATAAAATGGCGTGTAGCCATAGCAATCAGTTTTTTTTTTTTGGTCAACAACATATTTGTATATTTAAGGTAAAGATTTTAATTTTTAATTAATGAAAAAAAAAATTGTATAATTTGAATAAATTGAAGAATGAATTTAATTGAAATGCTGGTAGTTGGTCGCGAGTTGACGCTGCCATTTCTGCAAGCAGATTCACTCGGGCCTCGCAACGGGCTGGCAACGCCCCGATGTCGAACCAATCCGACCTAAAAAAACCAAAATTAAAAAAGGACCTATAAAAGCGACAAACAATACATACATAGCAAAAAAAAACTAAAATACATACAGATCTATCCATAAAATATCTAATAAAACCTCACCAATAAAACTTTTAAAATTGTATAACAATTGGAAAATTCGAATCCATAAAAACTCATTTATCAAACAAAAACAATCCCATAAAATATAATTCCATTTAAAAACGCGAATTACCTAAGAGTTCTATAAAAATGAAATATCCCATAAAATATAATCAATGTTACTCTTAAAAATCCCATAAATAGCCTTCTGAACCATAAAAATCCCATTAAAATGAAATCCCTTGATAAGATTATACTCACTTCACGTGCGGGACATAATAGGAGATCGGACCTTGAGTCCCGAGAATATACACGCAATAATGTCGCGGTTGTATGGGGTCGCCGTAAATTTGAGAGGGCGTCAAATTTGTAAAAACGCCGACAGCCGCAGGCGTAAATCGAACCATTCCTACATTGTGTCGGTGGCAGCGCTGCTTCCGGCCAGTTGAAACGACCGGGGCAGGAAATATTTCCTTTACACGGACACCGTACAGCCACCTTGGCTCGCCGAAAACCAAATACCTTAATACTATCTTCGTGTCGTGTATCAGCGGCAATAGCTAAAGATAACCGATTATAAAAAAAAAAAAAACATCGACATAATAATATAAATGAACAAAACAAAATACTCAAGGAACGATGAAAACGCCCATCTAGCAGCTCATCCACAGCCGTGGAGAGTTTTAAAAGGTGCGCCCGAAATACATTTTGGACGTAATATGGTCATTCTTTCGAAGTGACTACCAGCAGCTCCTGCTGCAGGCAAAACTGCAACATTCTTCTGCCGTAGGTTGGGATGAGAAAAAAAACGTCACTAGCATTTTTACCGCTTACCACCACCTCCAACCTTGCCGCTGGCCCAGTGATGGCATCCTCGAGGAATGCATCCATCGTATCGATAAACCCGGTGTTGGTGAGTTGCGGCCCAATCCCTAAATCAAGTACGAGTTGCAGCCCGGGTTTATGAGAGGGACGTATGAGTTGCGTGCCGAGTTTATGAGAGAGACGTATGAGTTGCGGCCACATAATAATTACCATTTTATATCAGCCTATTAGGGTTATCTAGGAGACAACACGGGGAGGTTGGCTGAGTTGTCTACCAAAAATGTGTTTTTTTGACAAGTTTGGTTATGTTTTTTGTCGATGGGCGGTTCCGTCGTTGTCATTTTATATTTTTTTTATATTATTGAGTTGTAATTCCTCAAGGCTATTCGGCAAAGGGGGATGCACAGATAAACGAGCACGGTGAATATTATGCCTAATTAATGACAAATCATTAATTGTTAAAGTTGTTATATCCCCTTGTTTTAATTCTGTGCGAATAAGTTTTGGTAATAGGTTTACAAGAAATGTCTTTCATAGCTTTTCTTTTTACAGAATTACTCAAAATTTGCCTATTTAGAATTTTTGCATCCGATTTACTATGATTATGATAAGTGTTACTTTCAACTATAATATTTACAGAAGATAATTTTAAAAAACACTTACAACTCTTCACACAGCAAGGCCACCGTTGTACATTATCTTTAAGTGCTTTATGGAAACGAAATTTGTAGCCTTCGTAAACAATAAGTGGCTTCGATTTTTCACTGTTAACAAATTCCATGATCACACGTGAAGGTACAATAAGAACACAAAAAGGCACGACAAGCTTTGTAGCCGACTACAGACTGACAGTTTAAATATAAAATATAATATGATCTGAACTATCAAGCAATAATTTGGAATATCCGTATTTTCTTTTTTGACATTTTATTTTACTACATACCGGTACTTTAAGAATAATTGTGAACATACAGGGTAATTTTTTCATACACTTTTATGTTTTTAACTCCTACATTAATTTTTTTTTGTGTCCACTTTTAAAAATTAAAACGTAACGTATATATTTCTCCATCTGTCCTAACTTTGACACTCTAATAACTTCAAAAGTAACGAGATCACATAATATAAAAACAATGCGAAAAATAAAAATAAAATCCTAAAGGCAATAAGATATTGAGTGGGTCTCTTTAAAAAAATCATCCTGTAAATCTTAATTGGCAATAAAGGTATCAAGATAAAAAAGGTTACACGGGTCGCAACTCATAAGTCCACTGAAAACTGCCGGGCCGCAATTCACCGGTCTCCGACATTGTAAACAACATCTCGGGCCGCAACTCACCTACAGCCGATAAACCGTGTCTTATCGTCTACCGACCTATTCTTATCCGCACCAAGAACGGCCCAAACAAACACGGATGACTGACAGCCGGCCTTGTCTCACCATATGTATTGCCGGGTTGTAACCTTGGATATACATACAATTCAGCAAAAAATTCTAAGACAAGCAAAAAAAAATCCCAATTTGGGAAATATAAATACTAAATATAGTCCTAAAAATTATAATAAAAATCCACCAAAACTAAAAAAACATCGCATATAATCGTAATCTATTACTTTAAAAGGAAATAATACACTAAAAATCTTATTAAATCCAAACCCATAAAAAATATTTAAATATCCACTAATAAGATATATATCCCATAAAACATAATACAATTCAGCTAATAAAAACCAATAGACAAATGTAACAATTAAAAAACTAAAATACAAAATATTTTTTTAAAATTAAATCCCACATGATCCACCATTATAGGTTCTATAAAGTGCATACACTAAAAAAAAAATGGCCATAAAAACATATCGCATATAACCAGGTTCCTAATTAAATAACACCAAAAACTAAAATATTTACCTTTAGTTCGTTATCTGGATACTGTCGGCGGTAAGTAGCCGTTGTCAAAACTCCTGAGGCCCGGATAGAAGCGGACGCGCCGCCAATTTTCCTGAATCTTCCGATTTCTTAAACATAATACCGCGGTTGCGGCTCGACATCTCAAGTACGATACCCAAATGGCATTGTGCTAACAATACCGACGGATCGTATACAAAGGTATACTTGGACAAGAAATCGATGGCCGCAGAATCTGCTATCTGCAGCCATAGGCGATGTAGAACCTAAAGTACAAAATATAACGTTAGAACCTGATCGTAAAAAACACTACATGAAATAACACCTAAAACCCACAAAAAAATATTTATAAAGCCTGAAATGCTTAACCGACCGAAAAAGACTACACTTACTCTTACGGCTATCCCCGTACATCCCTTTCAGCATTTTAAAATTTGCTAATTAAAAAAAATACATTTAGACTGACCAATTTAATATTACTGTTGTTTATAAAGCAACAATTTTTTATAAACAGTTGTTATTGTTATATTATAATAGGTACCTCCAAACTAGTCATTGTACCCTTCTTCCAATTTTCACCTGTTTTTCAGTAATCTTTAACTAACACACCATTCCCCTTATTTAAATTTGAGTCTCTTTTACCCGGTTTTTTATTTGGGTTACTTGATTATTAATATCTAGTTTGTTGGTTTTTGGTATTAATAAATCAAATATTGGTCGTGTCGAATGACCTAACTTCAGTTGAAGTAAAACATTTTTAAAAAATTGTTTTACGATTTTTACACCTCACTCGGTAAATCCGTTTGAAGCAGGGTGGTACGGTACTTCTGTTAAATGCCTAATACTAAGTTTTTTATAGTATGCCTGAAATTCAACACCGCAAAAACATTTTGCGCCATCGCTTGTTATTGTTCTCGGGATTCCGAAACGTGGAATTAACTTAGACATTTTTGTAATGACGGTTTCTGCTGTCATCGCATTTACTTTTAGCCACTTTGTTGTTGCTTCTACAATAATTAAAAATGTTTTATTTTGATATGCGCCTAAAAAATCTATATGTATCCTAGTCTATTGCTTTTGGGGCGTTATGACTGATTTGGATGGATTTGGTTTAGCATTTAAACATTCGTTGCAGTTGCGTGCGATATCTTCAAATTCTTTATCCAACGAGGGCCACCAAAAATACGACCTTGCTAAGCTTTTCATACTCGACGTGCATACATGGCTAGAATAAAGTTCCGCTAAAATAGAATTTCTAAATTTTTTTTCTAGAATTTATAAAAAAATATTAGTTTATAGTTTTAATTAGAACGGCAGTCGGCAATCCGTAAAAGAACGAAGTGCGTGCCGTGTTCCGTTCTACTATAACGCGCGCCGTCACCGCACTCGTATGGGCGTGGCTATAAGCTGCCCCCGCCGCCTGACCGAGACGGAAAATAACGCCTTCTCTTGAGCGTTTGTTTTGTTACAATTTTGCTGTGACGCCCTCTTAACTTATTAACTCAATAGCACCTAATAAATACTAAATAGTTAAAACATTTATAATTTCGATGCAATATATTTTATATAATAACATAAAAGATTTTTTAATTTTCTAATGTAACCAATAGGTGTTCTTTTTTTTTCAACTTATATTGGGGTACACCCAATCTTTTGACTTGACTTCCCGGTATTAAGGACAAATATTTGCGAGCCGCTTGTGCAGAAGTATACTTGCTATTACCTCCAGTTAAAGTGACACCAGGTACTAAAGACATCTGACGGTCTAAAGGCATTGTAGCTAACTGTCTAAACATATACATAGCTTTCATTTTCATGTCCAAGTTTGGCATAAAGCTTACAATTTCAGCTTGACGTTTTTCATTTGGATTAAGTCTTTCGACTTCTAATTCGGAAATAACTGACTTCATCTTGAAAAAAAAATTGCATTTATTTTTATTACCTCGGCAAGAGGCGAATCTAGAACAAAAGTTATAGGTATGTAAGAATTTTGCTTCCCTACTCTGCCTCCAACCAGGCACCAAAACCTTACATTTGTGTAATAGATATATTTTTTTAGGCGTTTTTATTTAATCCCTTTAAGGGATACTTGAATTTGCTCTAAATCCGCCACTGAACTAAGGCTATTCTATAGTTTACCTTTTCTAAAAATAGCGGCACTCCAGGATCGTAGAGTTTTTTAGAAATATCAATAGCTATGTTTAACTTTTTATAACATTCGTATATGTGACCTAACCGGCATTCAGCGAGCACCATCCATACTAGCGAGTTAATAGTCCACGTGGAACTATTGATATATTCTGCTAATTCATAACAATGTTTGGCTATATTACGACATTCTTTCAGGTAATTAGTGCCCATTCGCATATAACATCTCACTAGCTCGAAATAGTAATACAAGTGTTCTACGTCGGATTTTGATTTTTTGATACGTATCAATAGTTGCTGTTTTGTAACACTAATATTACAATAAAGATAAAAATTACATACAATTTATGCTGTACACAATTGGATACTACTACGGGATACTATTTATGAAAATATTGGTTTGTAAACAGTTGGATTGAGTTGTCATTATTGAAATTAGAACATATAGGAGGAAAAACCCAACAAATATTTGAAATATTATTTTGACTAAAAGTGATAAAATGACTTTCGAGTAAACGCTTCCATGAATATCTGTAGATGGTTTGACTGACTACAGAATAAATAGGTACTAAATTTAACTTAAAATTATTATTCTGACTTTAAATCCAAAAATCACTCAAGGGTTACTGATATTAGTTCTACGTAAAATATAAATAACTGACAGCTGATCGAGTTAAATCTTTTGAACTTTTATTGGCTTTATAAAGTACTTTTAGTGTATGATTATTGGTCTATAGACTAAATCAGTTCGACTGTTTAAAAATTATCACGGATCCATAAAAAAAAAAGAATTAAAAAAAATACAAGTATAAAACTAACATAAATTCAGTTCAGCATTGTGGGTGAAGTATGTAAAATAAGTGGAGGTTCGATATTTAAATAATTATGTCAGTAGTGATTTAATTTTAATTATTAAAAAAAACGATTTCTAGACTTTCGATGGGCTATACGTTTTAAAATTAAAGTTATATTTAAAATATACTTAGGTTTTGGATCATGATGTCCCATAAATGATTCTTCATATGTAATGGAATTAGAATGATTTGTACTACCCAACATAGTAAGTATTCTTTGGTGGTTTTCTTCTTCACTCCATCCCCGCATGTCTTTATACATTAAGTAATACGCTACGCCGAAAGCCTTATATATCAAAGACATAACACTCTGGCTGGAGTCAGAGTTACAATGAATTTTCTCAAGATAGCTATTTAATAAATCAACTTTTTGTTTCGCCTCTTTAAATTGGCGCTCAATTATTAATTGGAGAACGTCGTTCAAATATTTCGCAATTTGTAAGTTTTGCATGTCTTTTTTTACTTTATAATGATTGTGTTGTACATTTAATCGTTTATTATTAACTTTTGGTGTTAGACACTTGTGAATGTAGACGGCTTTTTGAGAATATAGTTGGTCCTTTAAAAAAAAACTGTTATAGAAGTTTATTTTTAAATAATAAACAATAGTTAAATACTTTAGTTTTGTCCAATGCATCGACTACAGATTTCATATTATTGCGAATTTGAACTTCATTATCATAAAATGGGCTTGTGGGGTGAAAAGTTGTTAATTGTTCGGCAAAATATTCTCGTTCTTTGGCTAAGTGCCGTAAGTAAAACGACCTATCCATTTTAGATACAATTGCATTCTTTAATTTATTAATTGCATTTTTTTCATGTACGCTATTTAAATCATTTAGCATAAATTGTTCAGTTAGTTCTAGTGATGCTTTGCCTAAACAGCTAATTTTGTATTTATCAATGCCTATATTTGTCGATTCATTCATTTTTTCAAAAGCCTAAGTAGAAAAAATACAGGTAAGTACGTATTTCACAGTTAAGGGAAAACATGTATTAATATACTTTTATAACTCCAAATGTAAAAACAGGAGGTTGTTTCCGTTTTTTAATTCCATTAAAATATGTCATTAAACTTTTTTCGTATTCTCCAAAAATGAAACACAGGTTGGCTTCGTTTTCTATAATGTCAAGAGTATTCGAAAAATTGTTTTTAGCGTACAATTGGTTTTCATTTGCTGAATGCAAGTCAAACATGCGCTGTTGACATTTGCTGAGTAATATTCGCGAATCAATTTCGTCCGAATTAACCAAAATTCGCTCAAAAAAAGTAGCAGCTAAAAGCACAAATTTTTAAACCGGTTTACCGAGTCTACATTTTAGAAACCAAGGTATACCTTTTTCATAGTTTCGTTTTTGAATCTCCCTTTTCCCTTGCGATTTTGTTACCATCAATTCATTTAACCATAATTTTGGGCCATTGTCACCAGTATCTAGATTTACTTCCATACTTTTAATTTTAAGTTTTTACGTCTAAATTATATAAAACTTTTTTAAAATTGTAATAAATACACGTTGGTGTATTTAATGTTTAAACACTGTTTGCTGGTTGTTTTAATTTAACATAGCAACCGTTACATTTGATATACCTAATATGCCAGTAAATAATAATAGCTCATTCAATTAAATTTACACAAATATTGACCGGTGTAAGTAATAAATATGTTTTGAGGAAGTTATGCGCCAATCGTATGGTAGCGGTTTTTATTGATTTAAACATTAATCCATTGATTCACATTTTGAATTACCTTAATCGACAAAAGAATTTTAATATTTTTGTCTTTTTAATTTAAGTATTGATAATGGTTTTGCAGACTACATAAACATCACATAATATATCTTTGTTGGATAAACGTATTGGTACCTCGTACTTACCTATTCTAGTAAGAATCCATATCTAACTCAGTTTTGTAAAAAAATGGCAATAATACGTTTTGAATAGAAACACCTCAGTTAAAATTCAAAATTTAAATAATTTTAATTTAACATTTTTAATATAAAAATTTCGTTACCGGTATTATCATACCGACGGTGTTTTGTAGAAAGGGCGTAACCCACATTTTCAAAATTGTTCACAGGAGAGTAAAAACATTGCAGAAAATACAGTTTTAATCGAAGTGTTCTCAAAATTACATTTTTGGAAAATAAAAAAAATTAAGAAAATAATTTTTATATTAATAAAGTTAATATAAACATAGAGTATCATTGTAACTGTCACTTAAAAAAAGGTATACGTGGGTTACGTCCTTATTGCGTTTTTAATTTACAAGCGCCTTTTTTATTTCAGTGATCGTTTGTGGCTTACGCCCTTATTGTGATTTTAATTTCCCAGCGCCTTTTTGATTTTAGAATTTTTTTGTGGTTTCAGCCCTTCTTGTATTTTATATTTCCAATCGCCCTTTTTATTTAAGTAGGTAGATTTTTTTAAATTTATTTGATTTCATAAGTATTTGATTTCATTTTGGTATTGTATAAACCTGTTATGAAGAGTAATTAGATAATTTAAATAATTGAAATTATAATTTATTATACTCAGACTTATAAAACTTTTATTATAAGAGATCAACATCAATAAAATATAAAATGAATAGGTAAATAAAAAATCTTTCACTGTATAACAAATTATTAGTAATGTATACATAACATTAATGGTGTGTAGGAACTCTCCTTTTGAGTTGTATATAATTACTTGATAATTAAAATATAACAATATTATATTTAAATAAAAGTCTATAGACAATGTTGCTTCATTAAAAAAAGTTCATCATCAATAAGTAAACAAAAAAATATATTAACAGAAATAAATATTTAAAATTGAATAAAATATAGATTCAATGTTGTCATTACACAAAAAAAAATGGAAATCTTAAGTTTAAAAACTACTTAAAATCATTTAAAATATAAGCTTTTTCATAAAATAAATTGCATAGAACCTACCTAATATAATAAGAATATTAATGTAACAATTTAAATTTTTTTAAATAGGTAGTATAATAAATACTAGTATAGTTATAATTGAGATCATGTTTTACTAGTGTTGTTAATTGTTATTAATCATCCTCATCAGTTTCAGATAACTGATAAACTGTTGTACTTTTAAAAGGAAGACTTAAGTATTCTTCATGAAAATTTCTGGAATAGTTTTTTTTTCACATAATTTTCTTAAATCTTTGTACTTGGGTGCTGAAATGGGAAGTTTTGATGTATATAGTTGTTTAAGTTTTAAAATATTAATTAATACTGAAGTTGAAGATCTCAATCTATTCTGATTATTAATGTTCACAGTTAGAAGCTCTAAATCATTGTCTTCGTTAAGTTTAAATGTATAAGCTATTTTAAAAACATCCAAGTGTTGTTTGGAAAACTCAACTCTTCTTATTGACTTGAACCTAACATTTTCATTATTGGCATCTTTCAATTTGAGTTTCTGAAACATTGCACTTGATATAGGACTCCAGTCCAAAAAATCAGAGTGTTAATAATTATAGTGTTATAATGACCTGCATTTATTCTGGAATTTCTTATAATAGTAGACCATTCAGATGGAACCCAGATAGTCTTTTTTTTTTATATTTTTGTCTATGCATGCATGCACAGAATCCACTGGCATGTATGTATGACCAGGTAATAAATAATTGATGGTTAAACACTTTATATTTGTTGAACTGGAAAGAAAATAATGCAACATTGACAACATGAAATGATTTTTATTTTGACCAGGGCAACTATCACAATAAAGAGCTATTTCTTGGATCAGACCTTTATCATCAATACTTTTTAAATAATCATATAAAATAGAACAAATGTCATTAGCCCCTCGCTTACCGTCAACTTCCGACCATAAGTAACAGTGACCAGCTTTGGTTTTACTTTCATAAATGCTTAAATTATAGTAAGCCAGTTTCCTCGAGTAAAATAACAACATGCTGTTGCCCCATGGGTGTATTTAGCACCCTTTGCAAATCAAAAGAACAACAAAGAAATCCATTTTGGCCACTTCTCTCCTGGTCTCTCATAAACATTTTATTTGTATACTCCGTTTTTTCTATATGCAATTGATAATTTTTTTTATCATCTTCACTTTCATTTTGAATGCTATTCTTAAATGACTCACAGAATGTACACTTGTCCTTTTTTGGAACATGAATACCAATATTGTATTCTGTGTTCCACCTCTTTTTAAAAACACCACTAGTAACAGGTAAAACATTATTCAATTTACAATCTTTTTTATAAACCTTGTATACATTTTCTAAACTTTGGAAATCATTTGTTATATATTTTTTATTGCTTGAACTTCTACAGTAATGTGATGGAACGGCTGGCAACTTTTCTATAAATTTATCAACATATTCCATTTGGTTATGAGGAGTTTAATTTTTTGACGGTTGTCTACCTCTATTATCAGATTTAGCAGAAAGTAAGTCAGACTTGTTATCCCGAGTGTACCTAAGCAGCTTTTCAGATATATTCAACGTGTTCAGTATAAATTGTCTACAAACTTTTACTTGCACATTGTCATTAACAATAGAGTAACTATAAGTGCATGAACGATTATTGACATGGGAGACATAATTCCTTTTGACATCTTGCATAATAATACAACTTAGTAGATAATCTCTTTTTCTATTGTGATCCAATTCATTCGAATATATATTAAAAATTACCGACCTTTCCTCCTCAGTTATGATGGAACACTTATTTAAACAAGGATTTGGTTTCATTTCCTTTTGTGCAACTAACTCAAAAGTGTTATCTTGCTTTATTTTCTTATAACATTTCCCTTCCTCTCGGTTTAATTTATTAAAAACACGATCATCTTTCTTTCTCTTTTTTTCCCAAAAACTTCCACTTCCAGACTTTGTTCATTATCATTAAATAAAACGTTTTCATTTATTGTGGTATTAGTTATAATATTAATATTGTCATAATTGACTATATTAGAATCAGTGTTATTATTATTAGTAAGAGAAACTGGCAAAACAATTTCTACTTCCACCCTTTCTTAATTCAGGAGTTAAAACATTATATTCATTAGATAATATAATATAATTAAAATCATTATTATCATTATTTCCTAAACTAGATTCAAAAGAAACTGGCACATCAATATAGTTGCAAAGTATCAGTCAAATTATTATTAGTATTAAAATTAATATTATCATCATTATAATTTACAATATTATTGTCATCAAGCATAACAAACTGATTAATGTTTTCAATATCTAAAATAATATCAAAAACGTCATTGTTTTCATTTAAAATGACACTGTTATTGTTAGAGGCATTCACTTTTATAATATTAATTGAATCACTACTAATTGTACTTGCAATTGTTTGTGAGAGGATTCTTCTACTCCTTAAATTACTCATTTTTTTTTATTATTATTAAATAAAACTAATGACTAAATATTTACGGACAGATGTTGTAATTGAGAACATTAAGGAAAAATAAACAATAAGAACGATCAACGCTAGAGTAGATACCATTATCATTATTATTATTTTACCGCGAAAATTGCTAACCACAAACTTTCTAACATAGTTTATTTATTATGATGAACTGACGTTTAGATCTTATTAACCTCAACACATTATTATGTTGATAATAATAATATTACCACGTTTATTGTGTAAAATATGCCGAACATACATTTGGTACAAAATGTATAGTGTTAAATATGTGGCATACGCCCTTTCTACGTTTTAAAAATTAAAATTGTTTTTGTGTGAAATGGGCGTCTGTGTGTACTATAATTGTAATAGTGAAATACTGAGTCTATGTTCATGAACGCCCTTTTTACAGATTATGCTCCCAATTTTTCTGAAAATGTTGATACCAAAAAGTCGATTTTAGATTTTTGGTGGATTACGCCCTTTCTACAAAACACCGTCGATATTGTTATTTTTTCTTGATATTATTTCTTCCATGACACATACCTAACCACTCTCTCTTTCTTTATGGGTCCATCCGTCCATGATTTGGTGTAACGCATATTTAGCTGTTGATAACGCGGCTTTCGTTTATCCATTATCACGACTATTGACCTGATCGGCTGTCATTATTCTACGAAGCACGAACTGATTTCTGTAGTTATTTAATAATTTTTTCCCTTCGTGAGTCGTGACTCGTGTTGTCATTTGTGTGTAGACGACGAGGTTATTCGATTTTGCCATTTACCGTATTGTACGGTTGAATCGATGCGTGTGTTATTTAGCGAGCTGATCGCGGTTGTTGTAATACTAAAGACGTACATTGGCGAATGGGTCATTTGTGTTTTTAAAATGTCGATGGCCGATGAGCCATTTGAATGTTTTTCGTGCAAAATTAAATGTTAAGCGAACGGCTAACACGTTTTCGATAAACGGTCTTTGCACGCTAATTGTACATACAGCCATGAGTTTTTCATTAAGAGACCGACTAACGACCGAGTCGAGTCTTACGGCCGATCACACAATTTTGTTTCTATCTTTTGATAATGTATTTATATTAAATCGTATTTACAACTACCGGAGTATAAATTATTCGTTTTCTAGTACCTAATTTAAAAGTGTCGGAAGTTACACAGGTGCTGCCAACCGACTTGCTCTGTGTTCGACGAGTCTAATATGTGTTACTTGGTACAATTTGTGTTATATTTTATTTTTAATAAGTCGAAGGAACAGTTTCAAATTCATTGTTAAAACAGACTAGTTCACATAATAAAAAAAAAAAATTACACGTCCGACTGTTATGTATATGGCTGTACTATATTTGAGCTGGTAGCAAAGTGACCGTACATATGCTTCAACCTGGTACCGGTCGAGTTGTGGCTTACAGCTGTAAAGACACCTATATCGTAAATCATCTATTAATGCTTAGCCAATCGATGAAAACAATAAAAAAACTACTATTTTAGATTTGGTACAAAGATGCCTGGTTGATATTGTAAAACATCAATTATTTTTATAATAAGTCGTGATCAATAGTCAAAAAATCAGTCTCCTGGCGATTTGGCCAATGTTTTCTGCTGTCTGCTGATAATATTTTACCTATAAAAAAAAAAAGTACATAGTGTAATTCATTTAAACATATTTTTCTCTAATAGATGAGCGGCAGTGTTGCCAGAATTTGAAAATGGCATAACCGTACCGGACGATCATAATTACCGTATTCCTAATGATGTTACCGTATGCTGATTGTTTTGTTAGACTCGGGCCTCGCTATATTTCTAAGAAGAACAACTATACAAGGAATTTAAAAGCCTGGTGTAGTAGGGCGATTTTAAATTATATCCCCGCAGCGGGACAAAAAAATCAGTTGGCCAATAAATGTAATCAATTATACATTGTTATCTAATGGTATAAACTTTTATTTATGTCAACCCGATGTCTCTAACCTACTTTTGATGTACGCTGTGTTATCATTATTATAATTCTGTTCAAGGATCGAGGCTCACAAATTGTAGATTTCATAATAAGAAATGCAATAGTTGTCTGACCAGGTAGTGCTTAGTAGATATAACAATTACACAATAAAAAACATTATACTTTTGAGTTTATAAATCAAACAGTTTAGGTTTTCAATATATATGTATGAAAATATTAAATGTAAAAATAAAAATATGTTAAACAAAAAATCTTACATTTGCCTGACTAGGTAGTGCTTAGTAGGTATAACAATTACACAATAAAAAACATACTTTTGAGATTATTAATCAAATAGATCAGTTTTCAATATATATGTATGAAAATATTAAATATATGAATAAAAATAAAAATATATTAAACAAAATGTTAGCAAAAAATCTAATATTTGCCTGTCTAAAAATATTAGAAAAACTATTAACATTGATACACAAAAGTTGTTGTTTACATTTAACATACATTTAATATTACATTTTATTTATAAAAATTAGTCCTCAATCAGAAATTCTTGATATTCGTCAGTCCAATTGGTGGGTATAAGTTAACGGATGTCATCCGGCTTATCATGTCTTTAGTAGGCTGGAATGTAATACAATTTCCATTGTTTTTTTTTAAACATTCGCTTGCTATAACTGTAGCTGAAACTGTACTTGTTATAAGCTTGTTACGTGATTTGGTTTTAACAGAATTGATCTTGCTAAAGACCCTTTCACACGAATCATTTGAATGTGGAAAGCATAATGCTGACAGTGCAAAATTTGCTAGTTCTTAAAACGTTCCACAATCTAATTCTTTAATGTTAGTCCAAAATTTATCGAGTTCTTTTTTTTAGTTATATCTATAGAAAATTAATGTAATGTTAAGGTTACAATAAATGTTTTCTCTCTCTATGGTACTTCTTATTGGAGGTACTAAATATTGTGCTTTGACACATTGGGTAACGAACTCAAAAAAATTTTGCATTACTCTGGTTTTTGTTTCATTTAATTTTTTTCATTTGTCCCCGAAACAAAATTAAAACGTTGAGTTAGTAGGCGACTATTTTCCTCAAAATGGAAGGGATCCATAGTTAAACACGTCCCTTTTTCGATATTTACAATTACGACAATCCAATGTTTGCCAACATTTCAAGGCATAATAATGACACTGTTGTTGTTATTCACAGTAATTATTTCGTTTCTCTTTTCTCCATTAATCTCGTTACTTTTATTACATAGCAAGACAAGCGTATTTGTATTTGCTATCAGTATCGCATAGGTCGCCAAACAGATATCAATAACGAAATTCGACACAAGTTTGTCCACTCAACGTGTCGAATTCCCGGAACTAAAACTATATTTTCCGACAACGTAACTTTTAGTAGCAGCCTAAGTAATTTTCCGCTAATGCAACAAGTCTTTCGGTAAACCGTTGAGATATAGTTCTTTTTCGGGAATCTCGTCAGTAACTACCGATCGATTATAAGGAGTTCCTGTTGTCACCGACGCTGACTTTTTATCAATTTTAAATGATTGATCATTTTCATCCAATAATGACGGAAAACTATTTTGTTCCTCGTTTTCAGCTACGTTTACAACTATACCTAAAGTGACCAGATCAAAATTCTATAAAAGCGGGACAAGTATTCAAAAGGAACTAGAGGAAGTGGGGTATCCCTCCTCATAAAATAGTACTCGTAGGATTTAATCTCCCTTAATAATTGGTTTTGGGTACACTTTTATTTCTTCATGCTAAAATTAGATAAAAATCAAAATTTAAATCAATTTTTCATTGAACATAAAATATTTATTTTATTAATATCTTAATAAAATTAAGTATATTATATACTTAACAAAAAAATTATAAAAACAAAATGTAACTTTAAAAAACAAGTAATAAATATTATAACAAGTAAACTTATAATTATAATCAAAGTAGGATAAAAACCAAATTTAAATATACTTAACACAAATTTATAAAATATTTAATACAGATAAAAAAATTATTAATACTTAGTATTTATCATTTGATGCAATAGATTTGAACAATAAAGGAGATTTTTTATCAGTTGTAACCATAGATAAATAAAGAAATTTTTATAGGTCTATGGTTGTAACCACTTGGGTTTCATTTCTAAAACCGTGGTTACCTATAGCCGATTGAGAGTCCAGATCATAACGTGATAAAAACCAATGTCTAGGTCTCTATGATAATAAGTGATATCACAGTATAGATTATAGAAACTGTACAAAATAAACTGATGTGATCTGATGGAACACAAAATATACACACCATAAATGAAAATAAGAAAAAAATAACTATTGTTTGAAATCGGGACAAAAGCGGGACGTTGATTAAAAGTCGGTACATTTTACTGTCCCGATTTGATCACCATATTTAGCGGGACACCTGCTTGAATATCGGTACTGTCCCGCCAAAATCGGGACGCCTGGTCACACTAACTATACCTATTATCTTTATTCAACGTAGCAGTAGCGCTATCGAGCTTAAGACTTTCTAACTGGAATGGGCGGAAAAATTTGGATTGTAAATGTCTCTGTTGTGTTCCTTTTTTCCCCATTGTTCGACGGCGTCCATATGAGTTTCGTCGACTGATTCTCCTTTGAGTCTTTTAAAACTTTTATTTATCTGTCCGTTGTTAACATTATGCAGTTTATTACCCAATTTGTTATCTGGACGTGTCAACCTTTTTCCCCTTATTTTTAAATTTACTTGTTTACACACGGTTTCTACGTGCTCTCGCAAAGCGTGTACAAATCTTCTGCATTTCTCTCTAGAATGAAGCAACATATTATGTTTTACTGTTTCAAACAAGATTCTACTGTCGCATTCGTACTTCTACAACGTCGTTAAGTTTGTAATTAACAACAGGAGCCCATAAACGGTATACACTTTTCTAGGAAATCTTGTACATAGATCTTATCAAAATAAACGTTTTTTTCCAACCCGTTCTCGGATTTTTCGGCCGAATATCGGTTTCAACCATGGTAAATAAGTTAAGAAACCTATTATACATCTTCGACTTTTTCGTTTCAGACTGGTATAATATTTGGTTTACATCATCTCTAAAACCTTCATCCCCATCTTTTTTTTCCTCTTTAAATTCTAGGTATTTAGTTTTACAATCGTTTTGCAAACAACTTAGAGCGAAATTTACCTCTTTAGTTTTAAAAGGCGACAACAATACGGTAGCAAATAATTTAAACCATAGTTCCATATCAATAATACTTGTGATGTTGAATACTAGACATATCCAATTAATTACTGCGTTAGTTCGTTCCTTCCTATTCACTCGTGTGTCATTACCACTCGTTTGAAAATTACCGTGAACATGATCAACTATTATCTTTGTATAATGGTTGGAGCACACATTTATAATTGTAATCCTGGGACCACTAAGTCCTACGTTTTCATACAATATGTTGTAACACCAATTCAGGTAATCAAATATAGACGTAAAACCAATTAAGCCAATGCAAAGCGCGTGCATTTGGGCATAGCTAAAGTCTGTCACTATATTGGTGAATATAGGCCAACTAGATTTGTTTTTCAACGCAAAAGCCTTAAAAGCACACAGCCACTGTGAAATAGCACAAACGTCGGGCGGTGGCCTTTTTGACGTTTTGGCCATTTAGGAGATGTGTTTCCTCTGGGCTGGCGGCGGCAGCGGAATATTATTTAAGTACTTAAGTAAAATACATTACTTAGGGAGGTGAAGTCCCTGGGTCGTTTTAATTGATGGCGTCGGCAGCAGCGGAATTTGCCCCTTCAGCAGAGGCAGGAGGTTTTTTTTTATTACCCCCGTCCTGCCCCTTCTTCTTGGGGCATTCCGCTGCCCGGTAGCCCCGGGCGGTGCACAGATTACAACCTGAAGTATATTATAAGGTTAGTTGAGGTTATACATAATATGAGAAAATCGTTTAACCGATATAGTAACAACTTACGCCCTCGAAATGCCTTTTGGTCACCGGTGCCGCCGCCGCCCCTTCTTCTGCCACGACCTGCCCTTCCGCCGCCACCGCCACGCCGACCTTCGTAGGTGTGAAAAATGAAATTTACCATCTGTCAACATAAAAATAATATTGAATTATGTATTGTAATGATAAATCCAAAAAACTTTTAAGCGACAGTGTGGATCCGGCTTATAAAATAGGGGGCAATGTAATATCTTTACAGTCATATAAAAAAGGAACAAATTAATAATTCATAATTAAAATATTTTAAAAATGTTCGTCTACATATTTTTTATGGAGTTACATCAGATGAGTCACTGTATTATTAATATTCATAACAATTATTCGCGTTGCCCAAAATATAAATAATAAAATTTTTTTTTTTTAAAAAGCTGAGAAAATTTTACAAAATGTGTGCAAGCTTCAAATTTTGTACTCTCCAAAAAAGCTTAAAAATTAGGGGAAAATTTGAAAAAATAACCAAAGTAATGAAATTAGTTCAAATAATTACGTGTGAAATTAATTTTCAGTTTCATAATAAATTATATTATGTAAAATTAGTGTAAGTCTTTTAGAATAATATTATGCTACATAGTTATTAATAATACGAGCTGAACAGAATTTAACATTTGTTCTCACCGCTATTTGAAACTTATTTTATCGAAAGACTAATGCAAAGTATGTATTTTAGATAACTTACTTTTTGGAGCCGTCCAATTTTTTGCACCTTTTAAACACTACTAAAAGAAGAAACCACTTGAGTCCGTTACTAACTTAACCAAACTTTCACCACCGGTGACCAAACCGGCTTTTTATCGCAATTTAATAATAAGGTTTCCACAATATTATCTAGTCGTTTAGTGAACTACATTAATTATGTTATAACTTATTTAGTTATATCAAAATGTAGCTACAGCTTATTATTACTACAATATTATCGGGATTAAAAGCGGGCGGGTGTTAACATCAGTTTTATATTACAGGCAATATTAATTAAAAAAAGGGGGTTTTAATGAATTTCGACCATATCAATTTGTTTTTTTTATTACTTTTTTAATTTACTTAAAAAGACAAGGAAATGAATACTAAAATTTGTATAAATTTGAGAAATTAAAATAGGATTTAAACATAATTTTAATTGACATTAATAATCGATTCTACAATTAGTATGACATAACAACAACTACAAAATAATATATTTTAGCTTCGATGCAAAGCGAGAAGGTATTGGTTTTATTCTGATGTGGGGTTTTTTTTTCGGTGTATACACTGTAACTTTTTTAATACTAGACCAATTCCTTCGAATAGCAACTCTATAAATCACAAATTTTGTCTAGTTTGTACTTTGGGGTGGTAAAAGTTGAAAAAGTTTAAGTCTTCACAGACGAAAGTTGAAAAAACAAAAAAAAAAACCGTACGAGTTTTTAAGTTAGAACTTTTACTGGCTATAGCATCGAGAAAAAGAGTCGGATCGAGTTGAAATGTACAAGAAATATTTATTTGGTATGCCCGCGCACGTCAGAATTGTCAAATTCAAAATATACCCATTTCCCGCCCCCCTAGGGGTGGGGTACAAGTTTTTTTGTTTTTCGGGGTTTTTAGCCGTAATTTTAAAACTTTTGGGTTGAAAATTTGCCAGTTGTTGGAACTCATATGTATCCATAACATATTAAGCGGGTGAAAAATTCGGCACTACAGTTTTTTTTATTGCCGGAAAACCGTGTTTTCGAACATTGCGTATATTTTAACAAAAACACCTAAAATCTTTAAAAAAAATTGATCAAATCATTAAAACAATTTTATTTATATCTATGCAGAATGATACTATTAGGTTTTGTGCTCAAGCTAAAAACTCGGTGTACCAGATGTGAGAAAAGAACAGACACTAAAAACTATCAGTTGGTAACGTCTATCCGTGTTAGGTTAGGTTAGCGCCCTTTGGTCGTTATCATAATATTGTGTTTATTACATGATATCACAGACGACTAAATCGTGTAACTGATTATAGTGGACACTTGATTTATTGGGAAAAAAACCTATCCGTGTACTTATTAAGACACTTAATGATTTTGATACGACAAAACCACTGTCGTTATCTCGTTATTTTATAGCCTGCGTTATATAACCTTACCGAAGGTTAACTATGAGTATTTAATGTCCAACTACCTGCAAATAATGAAGAGGACTGTTGTTTTTTGGATTCAGATTAAGTGTTGGTTTTTATGCAGTATACCGCCTCAAAATGTTTTTTTTATTACACAATTTTTTTAAAGGAAAACTAATGTTTTGTATATTGTTATATTGTTATTCATTTAAAGAGATTCACGCTTGATTGTTTAAATTGTCTAATATTAGATAATCTGCTTCGTGCTAATTTTATTTTTTTAGTTTATCAACTTGTAGCTCTAATTTTGTAAAAAATATTTCATTATTTTATTACTATGTACTATTACTATTAAGATAAATTTTAATAATAATTAAGTCATAAATGATAATACTTTATTTTATGACTAGATCAAATCTCGTGAACATTTAACATCATGATACTGCTCCTATGCTATTATTAAAAAAACACAATTTTTAAATTCTCCATAAAAGGTTATTGTTAAATAACAGGCAACAGCCGACTGCTAGTGGCTATACACGTTAGTAATATTTAACTAATAAGTAATAAATGTAGGTAAAATTTATTGTTTTCTCCATCACAGTACCAGTATACGATTTATTTAAATTTAAATTTAAGAAAATCGATTTTTCTTTAGAAAATAACAAGAAATTAATATACAGGATGAGGCAGTAAAACGGCGATTTTCTAATGTATTTAAATGGTAAAAACCCGTTTCACTATCCCACCCTTTACATTTTAAGGATCTATGAAAAGGTTTTTTTAGTTGCATTTTATTTTGTACATTGTCAATCTAGTAAAATAGAAGTATAATATAGCTTTGAAATAATATAATCTGTGAAGTATAAATAGTTTGTTTGAGATTGCTTTAATGGAAGTATATAATACATAAGTATTAATTTTATTGAGAACAAGCGATTATAATTTAAACTATGGAGTACAAACGATTGAAACATGAACCGTCGACCATTCCAACAAACTATAACAAGACATTGTATATGTGTTATTTGGTCCACTAAGTTATTGCAAAAAAAAAAAAAAACCAGTACAGTGGGGTCGGGGCATTAGTGGGGACGGAGCATAGTTGGGTCGGGGCATATTGGGGACGGGGAGGTCACAGGTTTACAGGAATTTTTAAATCTGAAAGTGATAAAATCACTTTCGAAAAAACGCTTCGATGCAAATCGGTAGTTAGTATTTTCAAGCCAGTACAGTCCAAACCAAGCACAGTATAAACCAGCAAAGTTAGAAAGTTTTAAATGAAGGTTCTGTATTTACAAATGAGCATCAAAGCGTTTATTTGAAAGCGATTTTATTCAATTTTATCACTTTTATTTATAATAATTCTTGTAGACCTGTGACCACTCCGTTTCCTCATTGCTTTGATTACATTATGCCAATACTCTACTGTACTAGTCCTCTCGGATAAAATCGCTTTCAAATAAACGCTTTGATGCTCATTTGTAAATACAGAACCTTCATTTAAAATTTTCTAACTTTGCTGGTTTATACTGTGTTTGGTTTGGACTGTACTGGCTTGAAAATACTAACTACCGATTTGCATCGAAGCGTTTTTTCGAAAGTGATTTTATCACTTTCAGATTTAAAAATTCCTGTAAACCTGTGACCTCCCCGTCCCCAATATGCCCCGACCCAACTATGCTCCGTCCCCACTAATGCCCCGACCCCACTGTACTGGTTTTTCTTATTTTGTTATTATAAGATGTATTTGTTATTTAAGCGCTGATATAGGTTGAATCAAGCCTAAGATAAATTAAAAATATTGACTTTAGCATTTTAGAAATTCGATTGCGGCCACCGTGTCACACTTGTCAAGAGATAAGATAAATATCATCTGTATACTTTTCGTTGCACGGGCTTTGTTTTCTTAATATTTCTATTTTAAAACCAGATTTTGGAAAAATTTTGGACACAATATACGGTTACCGTTTTCAATTATTACCCTTAGTTTGAGCGGAAAATACAAAGTTATTATTACTTTAAAAACGTTTTTTGATGGAGCTAAAATAACTGCTTTTGGAGTAAGCCAATGGCTTACCACATAAAAGTTAGAAAAAGAATGAACAAAGTAATAAACTTTATTAAACAATGGCACTTTGAACAATATATATTAAAATACATTTTACATTACTTTAGATGAAAAGTTTTTACAAAAAAAAAAATATAAAATTTCAAAATCATAAATATACCTTATTTGTTTGTAATAAAATTGTTTTTGTTTGATATAAAGTACGCTCTCCGGGAAAATGTAATTTCCCACCAAATCGACGAGCCCATCCAAAATTCTAAATAACTTATATTAAAATATATAATGTAATATTATATTACTTAATTTATTATGTAATATTATTTATACTGTATTACGTACTAAGTTTATATTGCTTATATTTGTTTTAAATTTATAATAAAAAAATGTATATTTGATTATTTATTCATAGAACAATTTATTAAGACATTGGGTAGCGCATTATATAATTAAACATTTAATTTTACATTTATTTGCAAACAACGTAAAATAACTATTCATAAATTTCAAAAATAAATATACTGAGCGGGCATACAACTATTTTTATGGATAGCTCTGTAGATTCAAAGCTCTTATTTTAAAACATTTAATAATAAAAAAAATAAGATTACTAAAGGAAAATATTGAACTAACGCTAGATAGCGTGTGCACATCTCTTTATTTAAAACACTACACAACCGTAAAACAATAATATAACATAGCAAGTTTTGTGTACTTATCCAATCCAATACTTGAAGTCAATTACAGGTAATTATAAAAAGTTAATCGTGTATCCAACAAATACTGCGCGACAACCGGTGTTATTTGCATTGTTAACAACTAAAACGCGTTCTTGTAAACTCAGTCGCACCATCGCATTGCGAATGGTGAGAAATACGTGGAACTCTTCGTATAATAATTTCTGTAATTGCATTTCGGAGATTAAACCATCATTGTCGCTTTTGTATTGGTTAAAAATCTTCTTCCATTTATTTGGTGACATGTTATTTAGATTTGGATTTATATTCTAGAATTATATGTAAAGTAAATTTTCAATCATTTGTATCTATTCAAAATGTTATGTTTTTCAATGGACAATTACAATTATGTGTCGATACTCGAGATTAGGTATGGAACACGAAAAATTATCTTTGGCCATCCAATGTTCGCTTATATATTGAAGGAAATCAACATTAGGGTCGCCTGGAAAAATGTAAATGTTAATCAATAAAAATGACGACTACAACGTTGATTTCAACTATTTACCGTTAGATTTGTAATCCTTGTGTATACGTGTCATCTAGAAGTTTTAACAAACATGTTATTCTATTATATGTTATAGTACAAAATGCGTATTCATTATTCGATATGATTAAATGCACACGTAAATCAACTCTTGTGCAACATACTTAAATATTAAAATATTTTAGTACTAAATATATAAATGAAATATTAAAAGTACAATTTCATACCAGAAAAGAAAACTTGATGGCAGATATAGTTAAAACATTTTCGGAAAGTTATTTATTCATGAATAATTACAGAGAATGAATTTTGAAATTTTGCTTTTTTTATCTTAGAAGAATATGATTAACAATTTCAGTCCCCCGTGCCATTTGAATGGCAAAACAAAATAAATGTCGTTCTAAAATTACATTTAAAAAACTTAAAAAATATAAATGTTTGCTCTAGAGACAAAAGAAAATACGGTAATTTTGATAAAAAAATGTTATAAAAATATTTAAATACTAAAACAAAAAAAAATTTTTTTTTAATTATAATTTTTTTATCTAAGATAAAGATGTTAAAATAATATTTTTAATGAGTATTACTGCTAAATTTCCGAAGACAAAATTTTAATGTCATCTTTCCACCTGGTGTTATGATCTATCGTATTAATAAAGTAAAAATATTATTAGAAACAAAAATACCAACCCGTAGCGAAGCCGTCAACATGTTTATTATTTTGAGGTACTCCTTCGATTCAATTGGTAATGTATCTAAAAACATTTTGTAGATAATTAAAAATGAAATTTAATAAATAGTCAAGTAATTTACAACGATTATGGACGACCACTTTGAGTACTTCTAAAACTTCTCTCTTGTATAAGAACAGTTCTGTAAAATAACTCGCTATTTTTTCGACGAAAACTTCTCTAGACAGATTATAGTTTTCAATAGAATTTTCATCCTCCTTTCTGTCTTCTCGCTAAAAATTTTTTTTTGTTTTTACCGCCCTCCCAACTTAGTTTTTTTGATAGAACATGTTTAAACTTAAATGGTAATGTTTTTAAGTTAGGATGGGGGGCAGTGCAGTGGGAAAGGCGTGCAGATAAATATAATACTACACTCCACCTTTTCTCCTGCCCTAAACTTGAAACTTCAATACCTTCTAAAACAGTTATTCGAAACTAGTTATCGACCAGGTAACATTTTTAGTGCTTTATTGTTAACTTAAAAAGTTAATAAAATTTATATGTAACTATTTAAGTTTTAAAAGTTGCTATCAAAAAAACTGCTTTAGGAGGGGGTAAAAACATAAATATTGTGAAAAACTGAAATCACATTGTATAACAACAATAAAAAAAGAGATATTAAGTGGTTCATAACACATAAATCTAACACATAAAGTTAGATATTAAAACTTTCAGTAACAACCAAAATAAATATCAAGTTCTATGGGGTTGAGTTAAATTCGACAGAAAGCATCATAACTTACAAAATCCTAGAATTTTAAGTTAATTACTTTCTTCATAAAATGTTATAAGCATATTTTCAAAATCATCATAATTTCTAAAGTTGGTAGATCTTAGGTATTTTACAATTTTACACAGTAATAATATAATAATTGTAAAAACAGCAAATTTTAATAAATAGATCAGCCTATACAGTAACAAAAAAAACTGTACAAACCAGTGACAAAATAATTATTATCGGTCTCATTTTTTTCACCTGTTTCAATCCTATTTCATAGTTTTCTGAAAATAATTAAGGCACTTGTTGAATGAATATTTCTTAGAATATGGCTTATTTTTTATTACTCTTTAAATTAATTAAATATGTGTATTCATTTGCTTGGCGAATGGTGAGAAATACTTGGAACTCTTCATATAATAATTTCTGTAATTCCGTTGCGGAGATTGAACCTACTTTCAGGCTGTCATATTGGTTAAATATCTGCTTCCATTTCGTAGTTGAGGTATACAGAAATGGATTTGAAATCTAGAATAATATATACAGTTGATTATCTGGAAATCATTTTATTAAGAAAGAGAAATTGCACTACAAACTTAAATTTTCATTCAAATTATTCGAATAACAATTTGCACCACTCTGCTTAGCATGTTATTCGTACAATATATTTTTATGGCAACAGGATTTTATGTTATTTATGTTTACTGTAAGCGTTTAATTAATATTTCTGAATTTTCGATACATACCTTCCAATAAGGACCATCATCCGCTTTAAAACCCACGACACACAAAAGTAGTATAATATTTTTTGAAAACATAATTTAAAATATATACGTGGCTTGTGCTACGAGACCAGCTAGTAAATGAAAATGGTTTTTTGCTATTTTGTTATTGTATCTTTATTGTTAACTTATTTAAACATTAAAACAGTGTTTTCGCACCATGTTTTATGTTTGTGACCTAGTTTTAAGTGTATACAACTGCATATTTTGTAAAATTGCTTTTGATATTAAAGTTAAAAAATAGTAGTTTTTTCAGGTAAATTTTAAAGTTGTAATAGATCAATTGATTTAATATGAGGTTTGATTATAATCGTTTTAAGTTATTAACATAATATATGACGAAAAGGTTAAATATAGTAATAAATTGTATCCATCAAAGAAAAATGGAATAAATAAAAAAGGTTTAAACAAATATTTCATCTCACGAATTAAATTTTATTAAATCTTTAGCATTTTTACAAATTAATCATTATTTTTCTTTTATCCTAGAAGGATAATATGTTCAAATAATATGATAAAATATTATTGTTGCATAAGTAAAAGTAATACTAAAATTACAGCTCTTAACTCTTAAAATTTTTTAGATTTCATAGTACTTCGTCGATTTTATGTAAATAATTTTGCTGTTAATATTTTGTAGATAATTAAAAAACAAAATTCAATACGTTATTATGACAAACAAAACGGTATGACATGATTGTTTAGCTTGACTGGGGGGCATGTACATCCATTCACGTATATAGATGCTATTAAGTTTTGATACTAGAGTATCATTTTTAGGCTTTAATTCAATTTTTTTTGGTTGATGAAAATTGAAAACTGATATCAATAGTTAGGACGGGAAGGTAAGTGCGGGTGGGAAACGCACACAGATACAAATAGTACGATGTGAAGTGAACTCCACCTTTCCTCCCGCCTTGAACTTGAGACTTCAGTAACTTTAAAAATAGTTATCGAAAACTAGTTATTGACCAGTTAAAATTTTTAGTAGGTACATTATTCTCAATTTACAAATTTCAATATTTGCGATACTATTTATTTTTCAAAAGTTGTTATCGAAAAAACCAAGTTGGGAGGGGGATAAAAAAAAATTGTGAATAAATGAGATCCCATTGCATATAACACTATAAAAAGGAAAAAGGAAATTTCTTATTAAACCCCGAGAAATATTGAGCGGTTAACGATAAGTTGATCACCTTGCATAATGACATAACAGGATGATATTAATAATGTTATATCACCCTCTTAGTAATTAAAATACATGCAATACCATTGTAAGCTTAATCATTAATATAATATGCATTTAATTTGCGTCATACATTTTTTTTGCAGCTTATTTTTTTGAACTATTTCTGTAATCTTATTTTCCATCTTATCGAAAACAAGTTGTTATTCACAAAAACTGTTGTTATGTATGTAAATTTATGATCAACGACTGTAGGTATCATACATTATTAAGTTTTAACATTATACATTACAAAAACTACCATCACAGAAATTTGAAGTTTGTAATACCTATAAGAACTTACCATTTGTTTACTTTACAATAGTCGCTGTGAAAAACACATTTTTATCTGCGCGCATTACTCTACCACACTCCACCTCCCATCCTACCTTTTAACCTTAAGTAACTTATAAATTAATTATCCAAATCTGGTTATCGACCAGTCAACATTTTCAGCAAATTGTTCTTAACAAAATGGCTATCCTAATGTTTTTTTTTTTTTTTTTAATATAACGAAAAAAAAATAAAAACATTATTTAAAAATGTAAAATAGTTAAGTAGAATAAAAAATGTTCTGCTTATAACGCAATTGTGTATAGCAATTAGATTAGGTTACATGTTGGTTAGATCATATTTTTGCAAACCAATTCACTCACGTATAGCAAACTAGTACGCTCAGTGTGTAATTCCTCTATTTTTTTTTTTGGCTTTTTCTCAGTATAATAAAATGTTCGAATACAAAATAAATGTATATTTTATAGGTCCATTTAAGACATACATTCGGTCTATTGTATCTTAATCAAAATGTTTACACCTGCTTATTTTGAAATTAAGTAAATACATTTTTCAAAAAACTTACTAGTGGATAAGTTAAGCAATCGTTGTTCATTAATCGATAAGTTACATTGTAATATTATTGGGCTCGATGATCCCGGACCAAATTCCGGCAAAATATACTTTGAAACGTGGAAAATGTGTCCAAGGCACAAAGCAGCCGACTCCGAGTAGTCGGTAATTTATTTCCAGGATTTTCGGTATAAAAAAACCATAAAATGAAGGGCACTTATGTGGGTGCGTGCAGCACCGTTGTGTCACCTTAACGATATTATGTAGGTACTCTTATTTTTTTTTCGTAATAATATTTCACCTCACACTGAACAAGGGTAGGGCCAAAAATTTAGATCTATACCTAATCATGATAGTTTTGTGTACTCTTCCGTCCTAACCCTCCACTCCATCACATCCCCCCCCCTCATCCCCAAATGGCCTTTTGTGTTTGTCATCCAGGTTTCGGGCAATCGGCACTAATTCGTTCTGTGTTCACGATTATTACAGTAAACACCAACTTCGGGGGATACGTACTTTGTCAAATATTCATCCCGTATCGGCCCCAAAGGCGTCCCGAGTTAAGAGTTACAGCCGTAGTTGGCCGGCCAATCCTTTCCCGGTTCTATTGTTTTTGTCTGTACTTGTGTTTTGTTTTAATTTTTTCATTTCCACCGGTAAGTAATAATGTAGTTTCGAACAAAACACACATCTGTATGCGCAGTCAAGGCCCCCAAACAATTTGCTTACACTCGAAACTATGTCAAATTTATTTTGCAAGTCGTTTTCTTTGAAATTTTGCAAGAAGTTTTCTTTGACCAAACAATTCGATGTCATCGTTTGTGTCAAATATATCTTGTTATTGCCGACGGGAATTTATTTTTACCAAAAAACGATGATGTAATATTTATAACAATTTTTTTATAATATTCATCTTAATGAATATAAAAACGAGATGAAAGTAGATGAACGTAGATGGTAGATTTTTCTTTTCAGTTGTAATCCTTAACGATTAATTCTCATCAATATTTTTTTACCTGCCGCCAACGATTTGAAGCCCTACGACCAAGGTCTGTTGTTGTAATAATAATAACGATATTTTATTATACCTAACATATATATCGGACCTACTTGAGTTAGGATAGGACTTATTTTTAACCGTCAAAATAAAATGAAAAAATTATAAAATTTATAAACAAATATTTTATCACACGAATTATATTTATTAAATCTATAGCCATTTTACAAATTAATTAAACAATCTATTGAATATTACAAACGTATATCTCTATTGAAATATGTGTATATATTTTTTATAACAATGTATGTAATGTAATATTCTAGTGCATACAGTATTCTTTAATATTAATTTTAAAGAAATATATTGAAATATCTAAAAAAAATTAAATATGTCTTTGGTTTGCAAAAAACAAAAAAATAATATACTAAAACTTAACATAACATCAGTATCTATTACAAAATAATATATTTTTCAAAGGCAAATTACACTCTTAAGTTGATTTTGTAGTTGAAATGCGAAAGAACCAGGTATCTCTCTGTACAGCCTACTGCGACGTATCCATGTGGGAAAACTAACCAACGCTTCGTCTGGAAAAATGTAAAAGTTAATCAATAAAAATGACGACTACAATGGTGTTCTGAAGTCTTACATTTATTTATACCGTCCTTATAGGAATAATCAATGTATATATGTGCCATCTAGAAGTTTAAACAAATACGTTATTTCATTATATATTATAACACAAAATGCGTATTCATTTTCGATATGATGATATTCATACGTATATCTACTCTTGTACAACATACTTAAATATTAAAATATTTTACTAATAAATAAACAAATAAAATTAAAAATATTAAAAGTACAATTCGATACGAGAACGAAAAACTTGACGTCAGATATAGGTAAAACATTTTCTGAAAGATGTTTATTCGTCGACAATTACAGAGAATAATATTGGAAAAATTACGTTTTTTTTTATCTTAAAAGAACATGTTTAACGTTTACAGTTCTTCGTTCCATTTGAACGGCATAACAAAATAAATATTGTCCTAAAATTACATTAAAACTATTTCTTTGTGTAGTAGATATACATATACATATGTATAATGTGAAAACATAATATACTGAATACTGTAGAACTTATAAGTTTGCTCTAAAGACAAAATACAAAACAATAATTTCAAAAGATTTCCGAAAAAAAAATGTTTTTCAAAATTCAAATATTCAAGTACGAAAATAAAATTTTAATTATAATTTTAATGAACATTGTTGCTAATTTTTCGAGGACAAAATATCACCTCTCCACCTGGTATCATGATCAATCGTACTCGTAAAGTAAAAATAGTACTAGAAATATATCTACCAACCCGTTGCGAAGCCGGCAACATTTTTACTATTTCGTGGTACTCCGTCAACGCAATTGGCAATTTTTCTATAAACAGTTTGTAGATAATTAAAAATCAAAATTCAATAAATAGTTAAGTTTTTTATTACCATCATGGCCGACTACTTTGAGTACTTCTAAAACTTCTTTCTTGTCAAGGAACACCGCCGGAAACTTTTCACTCATTATGTTCACGAAATCATCAGTCAAAATTTGGTTATTTTTAATAAAACTTTCATTCTTCTCTTCAATTTTTCTCTAAAAAAATTTGAGAAGCGCATATTGTATAATAATTTTTAATATCTTTTTTTGGTAAGGCAAAGGTGCAAAAGTGTATTATACGGAATGATTCATTAATAATAGTACACAACAATTTTGTAGTTTTTATCATTATAAGACACATTAGTCATTGTTTTTTTACATTTTTAGGCCTCACTCAAACCTGTACTCTTCCTTGTAACCTATTAAATGTTGTAACTTAAATGGTGACTAACATACCTAGTTAACATTTTAATTGGAAATGATTTGCTAAGATTTTTTTTCTGATTTAATAATAAAAAATAATGTATAAAAAAAATTGCGATTTGTTCGACTTATAATTTGGTTGAAGTTTCTATAGGGTTTATTTTAAATATTTGTATGGTATCAAACTTTATAAACATTTTTTCAATATCATTAAAATTTCTAAAGTTGGTAGATCTTATGAAAACATTTTAAAACTTTGATATTTTATAATTTTACGTAGTAATAAAATAACCACAAAGCCTGCAAAATTTAATAAATGGATCAGCCTAAACACTACCAAAAAAAAACTGAACAAACCTGTGACAAAATACATATTATCGGTTCCATTTTTTCGACATAATCAAATCCTATTTCATAGTTTATTTTCCCGTTTAATATTGGTCCCTTTTTTTCGACATGTTCCAATCCTATTTCATGGTTTATTTTCTCGTTTATTATCGGTTCTATTTTTCCCCCATGTTCCATTCCTATTTCTTGGTTTAATTTTACGTTTAATATCGGTTCCGTTTTTTTCCCATGTTCCAATTCTATTTTATGGTTTTCTGAAAATAATAATGGCACTTGTTGAATGCATTTTTCTTAGAATATGGTTATTTTTATATTACCCTGTAAATTAATTAAATATGTATATTCCTCTGCTTGGCGAATGGTGATAAATACTTTGAACTTTTCGTATAAGAGTTTCTGTAATTCCGTTGCGGAGATAGAACCAACATTGTCGCTGTCGTATTGGTCAAAAATCTTCTTCCAATCATTTGTTGATAAGTTATTCAGATTTGGATTTATATTCTAGAATAAAATGTACTGTTAATTTTTAGTCATTGGCATCTATCCAAAAAGTTTTATATTTTTAATAGTCAATTACACTCATTAGTGGCTTGTCGAGATTAGTTATAAGAGACGCAGATTCATCTCTGGCTAGCCAATGTTTTCGTATATATTGAAGAATATCAATGTCAGGGTCGTCTGGAAAAATTTAAATGTTAATCAATAAAAATTATGGACTACGATGGTGTTTTAAGTATTTACCGTTAGTTAAACAAAAATACTTGTGTATACGAGCCATCTAGAAGTTTTAAAAAATACGTTATATTATTATATGTTATAACACAAAATGCGTTTTCATTATTTAATATGATTAAATTCATACGTGAATCTACTCTTGTGCTAAATACTTAAATATTAAACTATTTTATTACTAAATATAATCAAATAATAAAAGAACATTTGGATACCAGATTGAAAATCTTGACTTCAGATATAGGAAAAACTTATTCTGGAAAATATGTTATTATGCCCCATTATGGATACATAATGGGGCGGTAGACTGCATAAAACGAAATAACAAAAAATGACGGTGGTTTTGCCGTGTTAGAACGGTTAAGTGTCTTAATAAGTAGACGGATTGGTTTTCCCCCAATAAATCGTGTATTTACTGTAATAGATACACGATTTAGTCGTCTGTGATATCATGTAACAAACCCAATATTATAATATCGACCTTTTGGGTGCGACTAAACATTAATAAACGGTATTTACGAAATCTGCGAAAAAATCAGTTTTCCGCATTAAAAAAAAAACTGTAGTGCCGAGTTTTTTCTTCGTTTTATATATTATAGACACATACGAGTTCTAACTAGTGACACATTTTCAACATAAGGGTCTTAAAATTACAGCTAAAAACCAAAAAATTATGCACCCACACTAGGGGGCTGGGAAATGGATATAACTTAAATTTGATATAATTGACGTGTGCGGGCGTAAGAAATAAATTTCTACTTTATCCGACTCTTTTTCTCGAAATTATAGCCAGTCTAACTTAAAGAGTCGTATGTTTTTTCAACTTTTACCCCCCAATATACCAACTAGATGAAATTTGTGATTATAGAGTTGCTACTCAATGGAATTGGTCTCTTATTAAACAAATTACAGTGTTTACAGACACAATACAAAGCCTACGTCAATTTTGCCATGGCATCGAAGCTAAAATTGATTAAAATATTTAAGTATAAAAATAAAAAATAAAGTTTTAAAAATTATAATTTTTTATCGAAGACGAACATGTTTAAATAATATTTTTAATGAATATTGTTGCTAATTTTTCGAGGACAAACTATGAATATCATCTTGGTGTTATAATCAATCGTACTAATAAAGTAAAAATAATATTAGAATTATAACTACGAACCCGTAGCGAAGCCGTCAACATTTTTATTATTTCGTGATACTCTGTCCATTCAATTAGTGATTTTTCTATAAACAGTTTTTAGGTAAATAAAAAACAAAGCTCAATAAATAGCTAAGTTTTTTACTACCGTCATGACCGCCAATTTTTAGTACTTCTAAAACTTCTTTCTTGTCTAAGAACATTTCCGTAAAATAACTCGCTATTTTGTCCACGAAAACTTCTCTTGATATTTTATTATTTTCATTCCCTTCAGGGTCTCTCTAAAAAAATATATATAAGAAGTGTATACTATTTTAATTTAATAATGATTTAATAAAAATTCTTTTGGTAAGGCTTAGATGTAAATATTTTTGTAAAGGTAAATTAAGGTTTATTAAGGAAAATAGTTTTTGTAGGTTTTTTTTATGTGTGACGTTGTAGTTATTGTTCTTTTCATTTATGAATTATTCTTAAATATGTTCTGGTAATCTATCAAATGTTGAAACTTAAATGGTGATGTTTATACTTAGTTAATAATTTTTCTGATGAATAATTAGTTTTGGAGAGATATTTTAGAAAAAGGTGTTAAAAAAAATACTACTTGTTTAACTTATAATTTGATTGTATGATTTATGATATTCAATATCTAGCACATACAGTTAGATATCAAACTTCCAGTTATAACCAAAACAAATACTAAAGTCTATGGGGTTGCGATAAATTCGACTGGAAGTATAAAACTAAGAAAACTCTAGTGTGCTAAGTATGAGACCACCGTTCTACATGTTAAGCTACTCCCATCATAAATTGTTATTAAATATTTTCATTATTATTAAAATTACTAAAGGTGGTAGATCTGAAAAATAACCGCAAAAACTGTAAAATTTAATAAATAGATATCCTCTACAGTAACATAAAAACTGAACAAACCTGCGACAAAACAAATAGTATCGGTCTCATTTTTTTCAACTGTTTCAACCTTATATTATTGCTTTCTGGAAATAATTAAGGAACTTGTGGAATGAATATTTCGTAGAATATGTTTTTTTTTGTTCTTACCCTCAGATTTAGGGGTCTGGGATATAAGTGCCCTTATATATTTCCTTGCATTGCGAATGGTGATAAATACTTGGAACACTTCGTAAAATAATTTCTGTAATTCCGTTTCGGAGATTAAACCATTATTGTCGCTGTCGTATTGGTTAAAAATCGTCTTCCAATAATTTGTTGATAAGTTATTCAGATTTGGATTTATATTCTAGAATAAGATGTACAGTTCATTTTCAATCATTAGTATCTATTTAGAATGTTATATTTTTCAATGGTCAATTACAATCATGCGTCGATTCTCGAGCTTAGGTATGATATACGCAGACTCATCGCTGAACAGCCAATGTTTACGTATATAGTGAAGAAAATTAACATTAGGGTCGCCTGGAAAATGTTAATGATTAAATTGACCACTACAACGTTGTTTTTAACTATTTACCGTTAGTTTTGTAATCCTTGTGTATACGTGCCATCTAGAAGTTTTAACAAACATGTTATTCTATTATATGTTATAACACCAAATGCGTATTCATTAATCGATAGGATTAAATTCATACGTGAATTTACTTTTGTACAACATACTCAAATATTAAAATATTCAAGTACTAATCAAATAAATGAAATATTAAAAGTACAATTTGATACCAGAATGGAAAACTTGTCGGCAGATATAGGAAAAACATTTCTTAGAAGTTATTTTTTCACCGATAAGTACATAGAATAAAATTAGAAAAATTACGTTTGATTACTAGTATAACTGCTAATTTCCCGAGGACAACATTTTAATATCATCTTTCCACCTGGTGTTATGACCAATCATACTCGTAAAGTAAAAATATTATTAGAGTTAAAACTACCAACCCTTAGCGAAGCCGTCAACATTTTTATTATTTTGCGGTACTCCTTCGATTCAATAGGTAATTTTTCTACAAACAATTTTTAAATAATTAAAAAATAAAATTTAATACATAGTCAAGTAGTTTACTACCATTATGGCCAACAACTTTGAGTACTTCTAAAACTTCTTTCTTGTCTAAGAACATTTCTGTAAAATAACTCGCTATTTTGTCCACGAAAACTTCTCTCGACAGATTATAATTTTTAATAGAGATTTCATTCTCTTCAGTATTTCTCTAAAAAAAAATTTAAGAAGCATATATTATTTCAATTTAATAATGACTTTTTTCGTAAGGTTTAGAATATTTTTGTATAGGTAAGTAATTAAGGACAATAAACATCAATTTTGTAGTTTTATCTTTGTGCAACATAGTAACACGAATAATAGTTATTGTTTTTTACAAATGTAAATCATACTCAAACCTGTAATTTTCCTGGTAATCTATCAATTGTTAAAACTTAAATGGTGACTTATTTATCTAGTCAATATTTTTTCTGACCAAAGATTAGTTTTGGATAGACATTTAAAGAAACCGGTACAGTGGGGTCGGGGCATAGTGGCGAAGCACAATGGTGGGGACACAGGTCTACAGGATTTTTTAAATTTGAGTGTGGTTAAATAACTTTCGAAAAAACGCTTCGATGCAAATCGGTAGTTAGTATTTTCAAGCCAGTACAGTCCAAACTAGTATAAACCAGCAAAGTTAGAAAGTTTTAAATTAAGGTTCTGTGTTTACAAATAAGCATTAAAGCGTTTATTTGAAAGTCATTTTATTCACTTTTATAACTTTGATTCAAAACAATCCCTGTAGACCTGTGATCTCTCCGTCGCCTCGTTGCTTTGATTCCATTATGCCTTTATTCTACTGTACTAGGCCTCTCGGATAAAATCATACAAACGGAACGTACACTTGCAGGCCGTGTCACACTTTTCATATAAATGTTCACTTAAAAATTACACGAACATAATAAAAAAACGATTATCAACAAACAATATTCTTATAGTTTTCACTTTTGCAAAAATAAAGTCTATTATTTTTGTGTTAAACTTTTATCAGTTATCAATTCATGAATGTCATAATATTATCTACACACCTTATTTACAATATGTTCACGATTAAAGATTACTCGGTCAGGCGAATTGATAATTAGAACAACTATTGTATAATGAACTCATGTTATTATTTCTCACGAAATGGCTGCCAATTTAGAGTTACTTAAATCAAATTTAGTCAATCCGCAAAACGCAGAGTTCTGTTATAATCTACTTTATATCAACTGTAACCTAATAATCAAGTTATGTTGATAGATTGGTTTTTATTAAATAATACAAATTTATAATGTAATCCTCAAACTACGTCATAAACGTTTTCCTCTGCATACATGTTACAACCAGAATAAAAACAAGCGTTTTTGTAGACAAGATTTAAAAATAATATATAAAACAAACAGACAATGTTCTGTATCAACTGATATCATTGCATAGGAGATAAAAGCGTACAACAACATGGCGTTCGTGTACACGATGATACCAACAGAACAAAAATAACACTATTTTTTTTATTTCTCACACCTGGTACACTTCGTTTGGACGTATGCGGGAATACCAAATAAATAAATATTCCATCCGACTCTTTTTCTCGAAATTATTGCCAGTATAAGTTCTAACTTAAAAACTCTTACGGTATTTTTTTAGTTTTTTCAAATTTCAATTGTAAAGAAGTAAATTTTTTGAACTCTTACCCCCCAAAGTACCAACTAGATGAATCTTGTAATTTATAGATTGGCTACTCGAAGGAATTGGTCCAGTATTAAAAAAGTTATAGTGTATACAGTTAAAAAAAAACCCACATCAGGGTAAAACCAATACCTTCGCAGCTCTGCATCGAAACTAAAAAGTGTTAAAAAAAATTAAGATTTGTTTAACTTATAACTTGGGTTGAATTTCTATAATGTTTATTTGAAATGTTTATATGGTTTATAGTACAAAATATCTAACACATAAAGTTAGATATTAAAACTTTCAGTAACAACCAAAACAAATATCAAGTTCTATGGGGTTGAGGAAAATTCGACTAAATGCATCCAAACTTGCAAAATTCTAGAGTGCTAAGTATAATCAACCTTTAAACATTTTAAGCTAATTATTACTCTCATCATAAAATGTTATAAGCATATTTTGCTTTATCATTACAATTTCTAAAGTTGGTAGATCTTCTAGACATTTTTAAAACTTATTTTATAATATTACACAATGGTATAATAACTGCATAAACTGAAACATTAAATAAAAAGATCAGCCTCTACAGTAACAAAAATAAACTAAACAAACCTGTGACAAAATAACAATTATCGGTCTCATATTTTTCACCTGTTTCAATCCTATTTCATAGTTTTCTGAAAATAGTTAAGGCACTTGTTGAATGATTATTTCTTAGCATATGGTTTATTTTTTATTACTCTTTAAATTAATTAAATATGTATATTCATTTGCTTGGCGAATGGTGAGAAATACTTGGAACTTTTTGTACAATAATTTCTGTAATTCCGTTGCGCAGATTGAACCTACTTTCAGGCTGTCGTATTGGTTAAATATTTGCTGCCAGTCCGTATTTAAGTTATACAGATGTGGATTTATATTCTAGAATAATATATACAGTTAAGTTTCTGGGAATCATTTTATTAAGAAAGGGAAATAAGTTATGTTGAAAAGTTAAAAGATTTAAAATTGTATGAAGAAAAGAAAACATAACTTTTTGCACTAAAAACTTAAATTTAAACTTAGGGTTGACTCAAAACATCTAGTTTATGCTAAATACAAACGTTAAAAAAATTTAAGAAAAGCATAAAGTGTTTATTTTTTATATTTATAACAAATCGAATGATATAATATTTTCAGATTTTGATGTGTTTATTTGGTGCTTTTATGCATTTAATAACCATTCTAATAATCAAAAAATCGAATTTCAAAAATAATTATTCGAAAAAATTGTAATTCCAATTAATCGAATAACAGTTTGCACCACTCTGCTTACAATGTTCTTTATACAATATTCATTATAATTTATATCAGAAATATGTTACCGTTTATATATTTTTACGGCAATAGAATTATATGTTATTTAAGACATGTTTACTGTAACCGTTTGATTAATATTAATGAATTTTTGATACATACCACCCAAGTGGGACCATCATCCGCTTTAAAAGCCACGACACACAAAAGTAGTATAATATTTTTTGAAAACATAATTTAAAATATATACGTGGCTTGTGTTACGAGACCAGCTAGTAAATGAAAATATTTTTTTGCTATTTTGTTATTGTAACTTTATTGCGATCTTATTTCAACATTAGGACAATGTTTTCGCACCAAGTTTTTATGACTTGGTTTTAAGTACATACAACTGTATATTTTATAAAATATTGGTGCACGATAAAATACAAAATACATATAAAAATGAATATCGAACCGTATCGCTCCGAAGGTCTGGCCTGTAAAATAATAATAAATCAGCATAGTTTCGCATTTGTTTAATTTGCGTACAAAATCACGGCAACGCAGTGCACACGAGTCGTTACCGTTATTATGTATTATGCAAAATAGTTAACGAGCATTGTTTATAATAATAATAATATTATAGTGTCGGCGAGGCGGTGTTCTGTGATCATAACTATTATTATTATCTTATAACTTGGCATCGGTTAAAATCACTATCACCACCGAGGCTAGGCTTGTCTGTATTTGGAGAGAACCCGGCGAAACCGACCGGAAAACTAACGACTTGATCCGTGTTTACATATAAAAAAATATGTTTTTGACTTTCAAAAAAAAAAAAATTCTTAAAACTTTACAAATTATTGGTATTGCTTCTTGAGTGTTATATTATACTAATATAATGTCGACTAGATTGTAGAGTGTCAAGGAAAAAAAATGAATATTATCATCTTTTCACCCGGTAGTATGATCAATCATGCTGATAAAGCAAATATGATATTGAAACAATAACTACTAACATGATTTGAAGCCTCCAACATTTTTAGTATTTAGTAGTACTCCGTCGATTCAATTGGTAATACTATTGTAAGCAATTTGTAGATAACTAGGAAACGAATATCAATAAATAGTTAAGTTTACTACCAACTCTTCCAACCCCATTTTATCACTTTCTAAAAATAATTAAGGCTTTTGAAAACTGAATATTTTATAAAACATTATTTCATTATTATAACTATTATTACTATTACTATAAAGTGTGTACAACTGTATATTTTATAAAATAATTACTTTTGATATCAAAGTTGAAAAATAGTAGATTTTCAGGTAAATTATAAAGTCATAATAGATATATTGCTTTAGAATTAGGTTTGATTATAAACTTTTTAAGTTATAAACAAAATATAAAGCGAAAAGGTAAATAATAGAAATAATTTGTATCCAACAAAGTTTAATGGAAAAATTAGAAAAAGGAAAAACAAATATTTCATCACACGAATTATATTTAATAAATCTATAGCAATTTTACAAATTACCTAAACAATCTATTGATTATTAACAACCGTTTATCTATATTGAAATGTATATATATTTGTATATAAAAATATATGTAATGTAATATTCTAGTGCATACAGTATTATTTCATATTATTATTTTAAGAAATATATTGTAGTACATAAAAAAAATTTAAATATGATTTTGGCTTGCAATAAACAAAAAAAAACAAAATATACTAAATAATTAACAAATCAATAGTATCTATTAAAAATGTTATATTTTTCAATGGCAAATTACACTGTTAAGAAGATTGTGGAGTTTAAATGCGTATGAACCAGGTATCTCTCTGTACAGCCTACTGCTACGTATCCATGTGGAAAAACTAACCAACGCTTCGTCTGGAAAAATGTAAATGTTAATCAATAAAAATGACGACTACAATAATGTTCTGAAGTCTTACATTTATTTATACCGCCATTGAGGGAATAATCTTGGTATATAAGTGCCATCTAGAAGTTTAAACAAACAAGTTATTCTATTATATATTATAACACAAAATCCGTATTCATTATTCGAAATGATTAAATTCATACGTGTATATACTATTGTGCAAAATACTTAAATATTAAAATATTTTAGTACTAAATAAATAAACAAAATATTAAAAGTACAATTCGACAAGAGAACGAAAAACTTGACGGCAGATATAGGTAAAACATTTTCTGAAAGATGTTTATTCATCGACAATTACAGAGAATAATATTGGAAAAATCACGTTTTTATTTATCTTAAAAGAATATGTTTAACATTTACAGTTCCCCGTTCCATTTGAACTACATAACCAAATTAATATTGTTCTAAAATTACATTAAAACTATTTTTTTGTGTAGTAGATATATATATACATATGTATAATGTGAAAACATAATATACAGAATACTGTATAACTTATAAGTTTGCTCAAAAGACAAAATACAAAACAATAATTTCGAAAGATTTCCGAAAAGTACGAAAATAAAATTTTAATTATATTTTTAATGAGTATTATTGCTAATTTTTCGATGACAAAATTTTAATATCATCTCTCCACCTGGTATTATGAGCAATCGTACTAATAAAGTAAAAATAATATTAGAATTATATCTACGTACCCCTAGCGAAGCCGTCAACATTTTTATTATTTCGTGATACTCTGTCCATTCAATTGGTGATTTTTCTATAAACAGTTTGTAAATAATTAAAAATCAAATTTCAATAAATAGTTAGGTTTTTTACTACCGTCATGGCCGACAACTTTGAGTACTTCTAAAACTTCATTCTTGTCACAGAACATCACCGGAAACTTTTCCCTCATTATGTTTACAAAGTCTTCAGTCAAAATTTTGTTATATTTAATAAATCTTTCATTCTCTTCACTTTTTCTCTAAAAAATTTGAGAAGCGCATATTGTTTAATAATGTATAATAAAATTCTTTTTTTGGTAAGGAATAGATGCCAAATTGTATTGTACCGAAGGATTCATTAATAATAGTAGATACACAATAATTTTGTAGTTTTTATCATTATAAGACACATTAGTCATTGTTTTTTTACAATTTTAGACCACACTCAAACATGTACTCTTCCTTGTAACCTATCAATTGTTGAAACATATATGGTGACTTACATACCTAGTTAACATTTTAATTGGGAATAATTTGCTAAAATTTTTTTTCTGATTTATAATGAATTTTGCAAAGTCATTTTAAAAAAAGGGTTCAAAAAAATTGCGGTTTGTTTAACTTATAATTTGGTTAAAGTTTTTATAGGGTTTATTTGAAATATTTGTAGGGTATAAAATGTTATAAACATTTTTTTATTATTATTAAAATTTCTTGTTCTAAAGTTGGTAGATCTACTGGGAAATTTTAAAAATTTGGTATTATTTAATATTACGCAGTAATAAAATAACCGAAAATTCTAATAATTAGATTAGCCTAAGCATTAACAAGAAAAACTGAGCAAACCTGTGACAAAATATATATTATCGGTTCCATTTTTTCGACATGCTCCAATAATATTTCATAGTTTATTTTCTCGTTTGTTATCGAATATATTTTATCCCTATGTTCCAATTCTATTTAATAATTTTATGAAAATAATAATGGCACATGTTGAACACATTTTTCTTAGACTATGGTTATTTTTTTATTACCCTGTAAATAAATTAAATATGTATATTCCTCTGCTTGGCAAATGGTGATAAATACTTTGAAATGTTCATATAATAATTTCTGTAATTCCATTGCGGAGATAGAACCAACATTGTCGCTGTCGTATTGGGCAAAAATCTTCTTCCAATCATTTGTTGATAAGTTATTCAGATTTGGATTTATATTCTAGAATAATATATACAGTTAATTTTCAATCTTTGGTATCGATCCAAAAAGGTTATATTATTTAATAGCCAATTACACTTAAGAGTGGATTGTCGAGATTAGTTATAAGAGACGCAGATTCATCTCTGGCTAGCCAATGTTTACGTATATATTGAAGAAAATCAATTTTAGGGTCGTCTGGAAAAATGTAAATGTTAATGAATAAAAATGACCGCTACAATGTTGTTTTTTACTATTTACCGTTAAATAAACAAAACTTCTTGTGTATACGTGCCATCTAGAAGTTTTAACAAACACGTTTTTGTATTATATGTTATAACACAAATTTCTATTTAAAATTACATTAAAACTCTTTATTTGTATAGTACATATAGATACATATATACGTAAAAACATTAATAGAACTCTTTAAAACTTATAAGTTTGCTCCTGAGACCAAATTTTAAACAATACTTTCGAAACATTTCTGATAAAAAAATGTTAAAAAAAAAAACTGTAGTGCCGAATTTTTTCTTCGTTTTATATATTATAGACACACACGAGTTCCAACTAGTGACAAATTTTCAACTTAAAGGTCTTAAAATTACAGCTAAAAATAAAAAAAACATGCACCCACCCTAGGGGGTTGGGAAATGGATATAACTTAAATTTGATATAATTGACGTGTGCGGGCGTAAGAAATAAATTTCTACTTTATCCGACTCTTTTTCTCGAAATTATAGCCAGTTAATTATAGCCAGTCTAACTTAAAGAGTCGTATGTTTTTT